ACACACACACACACACACACACACACACACACACACACACACACACAAAATCCAAAGCAGGCTCCGAGCTGTCACCACAGAGCCCGACGCGGGGCTTGAACTCACAGACTGCGAGATCATGACCTGAGCCGAAGTCAGACCCTCAGCCAACTGTGCCACCCAGGCACCCCCATTTTGGCTTTTAGACTTTAAAACTGTCTCCTGACATTTGTTACGTTTACTGCGTATTGCTCTTCACTGTCCTCCCAACCCTTCCCACAATTGTGGACTTGTGAATTTGAGTTCGTGTCACTTCATGGGTGTGTGCTTTTAAGAACTTTGTGCTTATTTCCTAACGTTGTCATATGCACACTAAAGTAAATATAGGTATGTTTCATCGGTGATATTTTTTCTTTTTTTTTCTTCCAAGTTTTTATTTAAATTACAGATAGTTAACATACAGCGTAATATTATAATATTTCAGGTGTAGAATTCAGTGATTCATCACTTACACACCTGGTGCTCAAGTGATATATTTTTCTAGAGTGAAGCATAAGGGTTCTCTATTAACTTGTTTCTGACTAGAGGTTCAACTGATTTCGGTAAGACTAAACTACTTGGAAAAACTTAAGTTGGTCTCCACTTGATTCTGCTGGTAGCTTTGAATGGCAAATGAATACTTTGCATCTTTTTTTTTAATGTAAATTGGCTTCATTCTTGGAGCTAGTTTTGATCTGCTTTTGGTACAAAAATCAAACTTTGTCACACGCCCCCTCCCCCCCCCAAGGAGTGCTATTTAAATGAAATTTGAGATAAAACTAATCTTTTAAAAATGAAGATCTTAAAAATATATATATTTACAAATCACTCCTTTATTCCATTATGTTAAAAATACCTAAAATTGTACCTGCCTCTCTCTGCTCCAAATTGCTTATTGGGTACACATTGTGGTCACCGTAAATGTCAGATTTCTGTGCCTAAGGACATTCTTGTCTTTCAAGACGTGTTGACATTTTTATCTGTATATTAGGGTACTGTACCAAATGAAAATGACTTGAGTTCTTTTCCTATGATAGGGATAAATGGAGAGGCTATTCAGACCAGAAAACATTTTGTTTTTGATAGAAAATTGATACAGATTCTTTCTCTTTTTTAAATTTTTTTTTTAACGTTTATTTATTATTGAGAGATGGAGCATGAGCATGGGAGGGTCAGAGAGAGGGAGAGATACAGAATCCGAAGCAAGCTCCAGGCTCTGAGCTGTCAGCACAGATCCCAACGCGGGGCTCAAACTCACAAACCATGAGATCATGACCTGAGCCAAAGTCAGACGCTCAACCCACTGAGCCACCCAGGAGCCCCCAGGTTCATTTTTTAGTGATACGCATCATATGGAGTTAGACAAATAGTTGTTTTTTGTTTATTTTTTACGTAATCTCATTCTACATTTTAGAAGACATCCTGATGACTTCATAAAATTGCTCTGATAATGGCTAAGATGATAAATTAACTCAAAGACCAAGTAAAATTCAAGCAAATTATGAACATCTTAAGCTGTCTTTATAAGTCAATGATGCCATTTGCTAGTAATCAACTATTTTTTTTATTTTTCCTTATTTTGAAGGGAATTGGTAACAAAACAGAAATAAGTGTCAGGGGACAAGACAGACTTATCATTTCCACACCAAACCAGAGAAGTGAAAAGGCAACTCAGAATGTATCATCTCCTGAAGCAACATCTGGTCCTACAGGTGAGTAATGAATGAAAAATATATGGACGCATTTTGAGGTGTCATAATTTTGTTTTGGTATAAAATGGTAGCTGTGTTCCTAAGAAACTTTTAGTTACCAAATCAAATTGTATTTAAAAAATTAAATTATAAAAGCAATTACTTCAGTAGGAAAGAATGGTTTAGGAGCTGGGGAGCTTTATTCATAGTAGGATATTTTTCCTACAGGAATTTAAGTAATAGGAGGGCTCTGTACTTAAAAGAACATAGTTATGAAATCTGTACACATTTCAGTAAATGCACCATTTGATTATTTCTCTTTGCATGAGAGTTAACAGCTTTACTTTTCTAGCACTATTACACATCCTTAGACCATTTCCTCCATCTCTTATTAGAAACTAATTAACAGATGCCTGTGCTTTTTTTTATTATTCTTAAGTATGCTTAGATGTTTGGAACTAGGGGACTAGGGCCTAACTCTCCTATTTTAATCTTTTCTCTGATTAACAGATCCCATTAATTGAGAACCAAGCTATATTATTCTTGCTTAAGGGAGAAATGCCTAGGGGCACCTGGGTGGCTCAGTTGATTGACTGTCTGACTGCAGCTCAGGTCACGATCTCACAGTTCCTGGGTTCAAGCCGCACATCCAACTTCGTGCTGACAGCACTGAGCCTGGTTCGGTTTCTCTGCCTCCCTCTCTCTCTGCCCCTCCCCTCCTTGTGCTCTTGCTCTCTCTGTCAAAAATAAACAAACATTAAAAAAATTTTTTTAGGGGCGCCTGGGTGGCTCAGTCAGTTAAGCGGCCGACTTCAGCTCAGGTCATGATTTCGCGGTCCGTGAGTTCGAGCCCCGCGTCAGGCTCTGTGCTGACAGCTCAGAGCCTGGAGCCGGTTTCAGATTCTGTGTCTCCCTCTCTCTCTGCCCCTCCCTCGTTCATGCTCTGTCTCTCTCTGTTTCAAAAATAAATAAACGTTAAAAAAAAAAAACTTAAAAAAAAAATTTTTTTTTACAACATAAAAGAGAAATACCTATATTTAGTAAGATTGTGCCTTTTGAATGGTCAAAGTAATTTTTATTAAGGGACTGACTTAACTAAGATCATATAGTTTAACTGAGTATCTGGTGGGTTTGGTTTCTATAATATTGCTGATTCATATGGTCATCAAGAAAAGAGTTAGATTGTCAACTGGTTTGGTCATTTGGAATCTTAGTTTAGGAGAAAGAAGTTTGTTTCATCTTGTTCTTTTAAATGGTTTTTGGAATGAAATCAAAGAATGAACCAAGTAATTTTATAGAAAAGGATTAAAGTCTTGAGAACTAAGGTAGTAGCCTTCAATCAGTAGTAACTCAGGCAGAATTGAGATGGAGTGGCACTAAAGAGCCAATATTTTTTGTAAGGGAAACTTTGAGTAAGATTCTTACTATTATAAGAGCTAAATAAAAGTCATTGTTTGAGAAAGAAGTTGGGGTAGCTCTCTTAAAATAAATGAGGGGGGCTATAAGACACGGTGAGGTGGTGGCAGGGAGATGGGACAAATATTGGATGGAGCATACTAAACATTATACCTTTATCCAAAATTGAGTTGGGAAGAGAAGTTGGAGTAAGGAGAGTGAAGTCCAGAACTCATATCATTTCAAAATACTATATAAAAAATGAAATTATGATTCTAAAGAAATGAATAAATGGACTTAAAAGATTTTGCATTAATTAGCCATAATTGAAAACATTTGTTCCCTTCTTTGAAGATTAAAAAAAGTCTTTGGTGGGAGGTACCTGTGTGGCTTAGTTGAGCATCTGACTTTGGCTCAGGTCACGTGCTCATGATTCACGAGTTCAAGCCTCATATCAGGCTCACTGCTGTCAGCCTGTCAGAGTAAAGCCTGCTTTGGATCCTCTGTCTCCCTCTCTCTGCACCTCTCTCACTTGCACTCTGCCAAAAATAAATTGAAAAAAAAAAAAAATCTTTTGGCCTCGGCTTCCCATAGTTAGGTATATCAGTTTTCTTATTTTTTTTTTCCAGTTTTGTTATCTTTTAAACTGTTGGTAATTTGTCTGAATTTAAGTGTGATACTTAGCTAGGGGGATCTTTATTTAAATATCTATATTCTAATTAGGGAGAAAGTAATCTTCATATTAGACTGATCTTAAATATTATACTTTTTTTAATGTTTATTTATTTACTTTGAGAGAGAGAGAGAACATGAGCAGGGGATGGGCAGAGAGAGAGAGGGAGAGAGAGAATCCCAAGCAAGCTCTGTGCTGTCAGTGCACAGCCCAACTTGGGGCTTGATCCCATGAACCATGAGATCATGAGCTGAGCTGAAATCTAGAGTTGGACGCTTAACTGACTGAGTCACGCAGGCGCCCCTATACTTTTATTTTTAATGGAGCTTTTTTTCCCTTCCCCTCAGCTACTGAACATTCATATTGTCTTCTTCCTGTAAGATTTAAGTTCTGCTATGATTTCTTTCTTTCTTTTTTTTTTTTTTTAAGTGAAAGGTTATACTGAGTTATTCCTTAGGCAGGTACTGTATTTCGGTTGTAAATTAATGAGTGCTCTAAAGCTTTGACATTGGTTTAAATTTGGTTACCAGCTGTGGTTGATGAGCAGATTTTGCCTTTTTAAATGACCATTTTGCTTCTTGTGAAAACAACTTCAGTAGTTGAAAACCGAGAAAAGAGACTTGATCTCTCTTCAGAAACCAATAGTGTCATCTCAGTTGGTGTTAACTACTTAGGGAGAATTCTTGGGCCTTTTCCTAGTAAATTTAGAGGATAGATAGAGTATCTGGTACTTCTAATTTCTGTGTTTTGAAGAATTGTATTTGCATTTCTAAGCTATTTTCCAAATTCAGAGATGATCACCTCCTCTCTCTTAGGACTTAAACATAGTACTTTTTAGTGGTTTTAAATGTAGTAGAATTTATGTGTTCTTTGGGTAGCCTTCAGAACAATTTTAAGAAGTCATGTTGCCTTATTTTCTCTAAGATAGATCAAATACGAAAATACCATTTGTACTTGATGGAACAGTTATGTTGACATCCTTCAAACAAGTAAAGCTTTTTGTTTTAAGCAGTTCTTATTTCTGGGATACTCAGGTGACTGTGAGGGTAGGAGATCTGTTGTCTTGGTAAACATTTCCTTCAGTGTAAGAAGAGTGAGAATGAAGGAAGGAGCCAACACCTTCATTTGTGACTTCTCTGGTAGAGATTAACCACAGCTGAGAAACAATATATTAGTGTCAGACTACCTCCTCCTTCCTCAGAATAGAAGTAGTGGGATCCTTCTTTGTTTTGGCTTTGAACTAAGGTGAAGGAAACCATGTACACACAGACAAGCACAATGAAACCACAAAAAGAAGGTAATGTGGAAGGCTTTATTGAAGTAGCTTCTGCCTGCTTTGATAGGAGCTTTCCCCTGTGGCAAGTGAAAGGTGATTATTGTCTAGGAAGGACCATTTGGGTCGTCCAAGCACTGAGAAGGTGGAGAACAGCTGTGCTGAAGGCGTCATTCCTTCTCAGGATCACAGAATGAATCATTCCTGACTTAGTGTTCTTTCAAGTTTCGGTCTTCAGTCTAAGTTTTATCCTTTCCAAAATGGGGTCCATGTGAGTTCTTTTCTGTTTATTCCAAAGAATTTTACTGTTTAAAAATTAATAGTTTCTGTTGTACTATTTAACATGAAAAAACTTGCTAATTTGTTTCAAATAGTTTTTCATGACTAATTCTGTCTAAAGTATAACAATTCCTTGACATCCAAGTTAATGATTTGGTTTTGGCCACACTTTTGTCCCTTTACTGCTTTTTTCTCCTTTGTTGTTAATAATATAACAGTAGCAAAAACTTATATAAGTGCACCAGCACTGTTAAGCATTTTACATATAGAATCAATTTCACTCGTTTGTTAAAAATGCTAACTATGTAGCACTGATTAAATTTTTAATGATTTATAATTAAAAGACCGAAAGTAAAAAACAACAACAAAAGTGATAAAAAAGCAGGGGATTGGGCCAGATCTTAGTTACATAAATGTCTAGTCATCCTTAAGTGAGTTTTTATTTTTTGTTTCTTTAAATCACCTCTTAGGCTCAGTAGAAAAGAAGCAACAGAGAAGATCAATTAGAACTCGTTCTGAATCAGAGAAATCCACTGAGGTTGTGCCAAAGAAGAAGATCAAAAAGGAGCAGGTTGGCTTCCTACATGTAGAGAGTTAAAACATTGTATTTGTAAATGTTGTGGCTTATATGGTATCTTAAAAGAAAAAGAAACTTTCCCCACACTGGGTTTCCTTTTTTTGGACTATTCGTATGCTTCTGTCCTGGTGAGTTCCAGTGCCCAGTTCTAATACAACCATCCCTGTGATTCTGCTTCAAGCATTTTCACAGAACATAGTCAGACTACAGGAGATGGGAAGCCAGTGGTACAAGACTCTTAAAGAATTCCTCACATTTATTTTGAAATTTCTGTTATGAGCAAAATGATTTCATGTTTTCACGATTTTTATTTGGAACCATCACTGAGTCACCCCTGCCCTTTTAAATTTTGATTTTTTGTTTAAGCTGCTGGTTTGTATTGTTTTTATTTTTTAAACAAATCAAATTAATTTAACTATGAGAGTTATATTTAAGACACAGATAATCATAGATGATCTGGTTTTTCTGTTGGTATCACAGATTTTTTGGAATGTTATTTTCCCAGTGGAATGGCACTCACCTGTGATTGGGCTATCAGAGAAACACTATTAAAGTAAAAACAAAAAAGAGGAGGAACATTTGACTGAAAGGTATTAAACCAGTGTAACCAATATAATAATATACATATTAAATTACCTTTTTCAAAGAAATTTTAAGAAACCATTTTTCCTTTAAATTAAACTCACAATAAGAATTTTTCTTAATTTTCTAAAGTAGAAGAATACCCATTTTGTATAGCCCAGACAGCTGCTATTAAACAAAAAGAATTCTGGATAGAACTTGTTCCAATAAGCTTTATATTTTTAAAACCACTTAGTATGGAAGTGTGGACTTTTCTATTCAAATTGTTTCCTTCATAATTTTAAACTTCCAAACTTAAAAGGTAATTTTGTGGGTGCTCTATGGTATCTCCAAGCATGTAAAACAATTTTCCCAGAAACATTTAATTAAAATTTAAATAATGTACTAATTTGTCATTCATTTATCATAATTAACTTTCATACTTAGGAAATTATATTCCAAAAAATCTTTCTAAGCTCTTGCAAATCTATAGCATTCATTAACAAAACAAAGTTGTGATTTTTCCAGCTGGTTCCCAAATTCTGTGACCAGTCAGTTTAAAATTAATAAGCAGAATGAGTATAAAAAGTGGGACAAATTGTTAATGCCACTGTGTTAATAGTTAGTAGTAGAACAATACCAGTGATTGTTTTAGAAGATTTTATATTTGTATTACTAATTGTATCTTATAAAAGCGCTTCTGTTGTATGTTTTTTTACCTGTTGTAAAAAAAATAAAAATTTTTTTAAAAAGCTTAGAACAATCCTTAAATATTTACAAAATGTGTTTCAACATGCATATCTCACCACATCTTAAAGAAACATAAAATTCAACTCATAGCTAAAACAGGAACTCCTCCAAACAGCATCCTTTCTTTAATTCCAATGGTTCAGTCCTCAAATTACCACGTGTTGTACATATACATTGGCAGAATAACTTCTGATCTCGCTCTCCTAATGTAGGATCAAGACACTGTTCATAAGACACTCAAGAAAGTGCTTTTGCAATATCACAAACTTATTTTCTTAAGTTTGTACTAGCAGCAAAAGTATTGAGCTTCCAGCTGTATGGAGCCCTGTAGCACTCTCTACAGAGAGGGTCCTGATTCCCAGCAACTTAGCTGTGAGTGCAGGCGCGGAAGGGTCTTAAAGTGGCGTGAGTTACATTAACCTGAGTATCATAGTAAGTAAAAATTTATCCTAACGTCTTTGGGGCGGGAGGGGTTTATAGCAACATCGGGGCTGGTTGCAGAAACAACCCCTCTCCTGCCTCCCAGACACTGAGAAAAGGATTCTTGTTCTCTTCATATACCAAGGGAATGGTGGGAAAAGTCTTTGCTAGAAAGCATGTGGCTGTGTGTTGTCACTTGGTATTCAGCACAGGCAGCTAGGATTTAAACCCTCCCTGACCTTGAGACAGAACTTTACCCAGAAGATGGGACGGAGTTCAGATTACAGATACATTAATCACTCATCATTATTTAGATTGATGGAAGTATTGTTTTTTCCCTCTGTTAATTAAAAGTGAAAAAAATTCATTGTTAATGGTATATTTTTCTGTCCATACAGGTTGAAACAGTTCCTCAGGCTACAGTGAAGACTGGATTACAGAAAGGTGAGTTATTATAATGTTGCCTTGCATTTCCTCGATTAAAAACCAAATTTTAAGAATTACTTATTTGTACTTCATGTATTTTTGTTTGTCTCTGTAAATCACTGTTGTTGCTCTTCAGTCAAAAATTTGTGTGAAATTGAAGTATTTCCTGGCGTGTGCGTGTGTGTGTATGTGTGTGTGTGTCTTTTAGAGTTGATCTTATTCTGTACCTCCCATGTGTAAAGTCTTACTCGTTTCGGTAAATTGGAGAACACCATGTAGACTTGATACTGTTTCCAACTTTTCTCCATAAGATTCTGGGGTTTCACTGGTTAATAAACTAGGGATGTGACGAATCCATTTTTTTTGGTATTCGACTGAATACCGAATAGTAGCTATTAATGTTTATCAAACATGGACTATGACAAATCAGACAAGACAACCTGGTTGAAAAAAATCTTGCCACGTTTATTTTTACAGTGCTGTAAAATCTTTTTTTTTTTTAATTAAAATGATTCATAGCATATTTATGGCCATTATTAGATGACCTTATGCAAATCTATTTGAGATATGCACAAAGTTTAAGAAACCTTAAACTTATATCTGTATTTTCTGTGTGCAATTTGACTACAGTACAAACTCCATAGCATGATTCGTGCATTTTTGATGAGATCATTCAAACTGTATTTAATACCTGTAGTTTACTCTGGGCAAATTGCATTATTTAAAAAAAAAAAAAAAAAAAAAAAAAAAACACCAGCCTCTCTGCATTCTCGGGGAGAAGTCTGCAGCGATGGTCTCCGTGGAGATCCTCAGCAGAACTGAACAGCCTCTCGGAGGGAACACTGCTTGGCGGAGCTCCAAGAAAAGACATCGCGATCGCTGCGAGATTAGGAGGCCTGATTGCGTTGTGTTTCCACCATTCCACAGGGTCGGCGGACCGGGGAGTGCAGGGCTCTGTCAGATTCAGTGACAGCTCCGTCTCCGCAGCGATTGAGGAAACTGTGGACTGAGATTCCTGTACAATTTCATCCCAGAAACTCCAGACTTGTAGTCTCCATGCAAGATTTCTTTGTCGGCGGCTCGATAAACAGTTTCTTTGTTTTCAATTTTGATTTTGCCAATCCTCATTATTGGCATCTTCCTGCCTGGTTTCTTCTTCAAGACTCTGAACAATTGCTTTAACATTCAGATGATTTTTTTTTTTTGGTCTGAGCTGGATGGGTACAGCTTAAATCATGGGTCCAGCCTAAAACCACCGTTTAACGTACACTGATCAATTTCAACATGGACTGTTTTTGTTTTTTTGTTTTTTGTTTTTAAATAAAGCATCATTAATGCACATCTGCAGGGTTTTGCCAAACAGCCCAAATTGTATACATTACAATCATTAAAAGCTCTTATTTTTTTTAATATTAGTGCCGTTATCATGGAGAACAGCATGGCAGCTGTCTTTGGCAGTCTGTCATTTTTCTAGCATTTTCAGAAACTCATCGGAAATGGCGGTACCTGTGTTTCCCTTCGAAAGCCTCTCAGTACAGCACTCCTGTTCCTCTGTTAAAACTCCTTGTTAATCCAGTGATCTTTTAGGCCAAGGAAATACTTTGTGGTGGTGTTCTGGGTCCACACACCAGCAATGAAGGAGATAGATTTGTGTACTTGTGTTTTTTAATCAGCGTTAACATGGGCAGGCACCCTCATTTATAGATGTAAGGAAACATTCAGTGAAAAAACTTGTAGAATGGGATGTGATAACAAGGTTCCAGTAATCTGAGCAGTCTAAAGAGGCCCACATCCTCCACCACAGAACATGGCTATATACCAAGTGCTACTCTCACTCAGCCTGTTGCGGATCTTCATGGCCTCAGGAGACTTGTTTCTCCATGGTCTCTTCTGGACTGCACACTTCCACCATAGCTTGCTGGGCTGATCTAGATGTCTGTTTGTTGTATGGAAATTTTGGGGGAAAAAAAATCCAAAACAAACTGTGGGTTGAAATATTAACCGTCTCCTTGGTTCCCTGGTATTCACCGTGCCTGATCTGCACATTTCATCGTGGCTGTTTCTGTATAGCCTATACTGCATTAGCCCAAGAGATTGTTGCTTTGTAACTTTTTGCACTATTGTTTTGGCTGGATTTGTATTACACACAGTTTTAAAAAAAAAAAAAATTCCTCACTATTCTCTGCCTTTTTTTTTTTTTTTTTTTTCATATTTATTCCTTCCCGCACAAATTCCACATAGAGGCCTCTCATCCAGCTCTTCGTTGATTTGGCTGCACTTGAACATTGATTATCCGTTCCAACCCTCAGCAATGTGCCTCCTAAATGGCATGACATATGTAGATGTGCTGCAGCACTTGTTAATGGTCACAATAAATGCCACTTCACCAAGGAAGTCTCAGATGAACAATTCTGAACATCCAAAACTTGTTCGGGGGGCAATAATCAACTGAATTGCAAAATTCGGGGGAAAATGGCACTATCCGTGTACGAATCGAATACAAATCAAAGATTTGTCACATCCCTAATAAAAACAAGATGGAGATGTCTCTGCGACCATATTTGTAAGCTACACAGTGTGTTGGGTTTTATGTCTTCCCCCTCCAAATTGAATGGTTCTCTGGATTGCTCCAAATCAATCGGCTGTCCTGTAGTTTTGATAGAATTGGTTTTTTTAGCTTGGAACTTGGGCTCTGTCGACGGAAAATAGCTTTAGAGCAGGAGCACTGAATTAAATGTTTTTAATAGAGCGGTTGTAAATTAAATCACTCACTATCAGGAAGGTCAGAAGCTTATGAAGTTTTGACTCATGACTTCAGTGTTACAAAGAGAGCTGTGCTTTTTTTTCACACTACAGATGAGTCTGAGGAAAGAAAGAATCTCCCACAAAAAAATAAATAAATAAAACTTTAAGCACTATTTTAGGATTAATTTCGGTATGTTGTATTAAGGTGCCAGCGAGATTTCAGATTCCTGTAAACCTCTAAAGAAAAGGAGTCGCGCCTCCACTGATGTAGAAATGACTAGTTCAGCATACAGAGACACGTCTGACTCCGATTCTAGAGGACTGAGTGACCTGCAGGTAAATAATGTTCAAGGTTCTGGGCACACTGCTTTTTCACTTTGAAAAACGAAGTAACAATACATTGTTTGACTTATTTTGGGGGGCTTGGGGAAGTTTTTAAATACCCAGGGAGCAAATCACCTTGGTTCTTTTGTAACTTACAAATGTCTTAATTTTGCTGATCTCTTACATAACAGAAGCATTGCTTCTATGTTTTTAAGTTTTAACTACAGTTTCTCTCAAAACACCAGGCGTATACTATCCAGGGATTTTAGAAAGGAAGAAAAAAGTTGTATCAAGGTTTAGTTGAGCAAATCTTGCTAGGATTTTCACAGCGCCTAACTTTGAGGAAATTTTGTTTTATTTTTCTTAACAAGTGTTATGTTTTCCATGTAGGTAGGCTTTGGAAAGCAAGTAGATAGCCCTTCTGCTACTGCAGATGTAGATGTTTCTGATGTGCAGTCCGTGGATTCAAGTTTGTCAAGAAGAGGCATTGGAATCAGTAAGAAGGACACTGTGTGTCAGGTAGGCAAGCGACAAATAAGCTTGAAATAACTGCTCTAATATTCTGCCAATAATATACTAACCTTCTGCTGGAGAGAATATTATCTTCCTAAATTATACTACTTTAAAGCTATAGGTCTAAAAGTTCTTTTCTTCCCTTTCCGAGTTGGAAATTTTATTCATATGCAATGCTAATCTTGATTGTGATACTCAGTTCTGAATTAGAAGTAAAAGGAAAGGATCACCTGGCTGGCTCAATCTATAGAACATGCGATTTAATCTGGAGTCATGAGTTCAAGTCCCATGCTGGGCCTAAAGTTTACTTAAAAAAAAAAAAAGTATTGTATGGAAACCAATTTGACAGTAAATTTCATTAAAAAAAAAAGTAAATGACATATGATTGATTTCAAAAACATGTTCTTAAATTTAAGTTGGTATTACATTTTTTTTTTAAGTTTATTTATTTATTTTGAGAGAGAGAGAGAAAGAGAGCACACAGGAGGGACAGAGAAAGAGAATCCCGAGCAGGCTCTGTACTGTCAGTGCTGAGCTTGACACGGGGCTCGAGCTCACTAACTGTGAGATTGTGACCTGAGCCAAAATCGAGAATCGGGCACTTAACTGACTGAGCCACCCAGGTGCCCTGATATTACCTTTTTAAATATATGTTTACCCTTTTTGAAAAATACTGCTTTGCCGTATGGGGAAAAGTTAAAATGTGCAGATTCCAGAGAAGGAATCATGAAAGATCAAATATGCCTTTTAAACTTTATACCATATTGGGTCTGGAAATAGTTATCTAATTCAGTGGTTCTCTCTTTCTTTTTTTTTTTTAATATAAAATATAGAAGTCTTCCTATATTATTATTTTTCTCATGATGAGTACCAGGTGATGTATGGAATTGTTGAATCATTATATTGTACACCTGAAACTAATATAACACTGTATGTGTTATTAACTGGAATTAAAGTAAAAATGTTAAAAAATAAAATAAATTAACTTACTTCAGGGGTTCTTAAAATGAGGGCCAAGGACCAGCAGCATCACCATTGTCAGGAGACTTGTTAGAAATGCAAATTCTTGGGCCCCAGCCTAGACCTGCTGAATCAGAAGCTATGGGAGAGCACCCAGAAATCTGTCTTAACAGGCCTTCTGAGTGATTCTAATGCCTGCTAAAGTTTAAGAATGACTACTTTTTGCCATATTACAGATCTGTGAAAGCTCTGGTGACTCTCTGATTCCTTGTGAGGGAGAGTGCTGCAAACACTTTCACCTGGAGTGCCTGGGATTGGCATCACCCCCTGATGGAAAGTTCATCTGTGTGGAATGTAAAACCGGTAAGTTTACTTAGTTTGATAGATACGAAAAGACAAATAGGGAGGAATGCGTGATGCCAGCATCCCCCGTGACGTCTAATTCTCTTACCACTTTTATGTAGCTCTCATCTTCCACTCCCCGTAGGTATTTCAACAAATTAAGAACATTCAGTGATTGGGATTTCTGAGATCAAATCGTCGAGATGGATTTGTGTTTTATCTAAGCAACTATGCAATATATATATAAAGTGAATTATTTTTAGATGGGTTTGAGAGTTTTGTGTTCAATAAATTGGGTTAAAGTCCCCTTGACTTTAATAGATTGGATAAACATTAGTCACAAACTCACGAACTATAACCATGGTGATTATATTTTTACTGGAAAGATGGAGCTACTGGAAATTGTTTTTTAGACAGTTTAGGGGATTTTGGATTCATCATTTTGGTCTTATGTTCCTCCACCCCCCCCCCCCCCACCGCCCCATATAGACTACCACTGATCAAAACAATTTATAGAGAGAGAAAGTTTAATTCCTTACCCAAAGTCAAAAGACAACATATGATGAAAATGGGATTTAAACCCAGGAAGTAGCTTAACCCCGGAGTCCTTACTCTGTACTGTTGCCTTTGACAACCTTGATGAAGTAGGGTGGAGATTGCACACACATGCAAAAAATGAAGCTACAAAAGCTGTTTTGAACATATACTTGTATTTTTTCCTATATAAGATATCATTTATCACATTTAGCTTCTGCAGTAAAACTTTAGGACAGCTTGCCAACTGGCAGCCTCAGGGTCAGATTATCTGCGCGTCATTTTACTTGGCCTTTGGAATGTTTTGAATGTGTGAACATGGATCAGGCACGTATTCTTGGTTCCTCACATTCCCTGCCATTCCCTTTTCTAAAACCCTGTCATTCCAGTCATTTATGTAATCTGCCTGACCCCTTGTAAGCACTTAAGTTGCAGTTTCTGTTATAAACTACTGATAGGAGGGACCACGTATCATGTTATTGAAATACTCTGAGGGCTTTTCTCCTAGCTCTAGAACCCAACAGAGCAGAATTCTGCCAACAAAGGCTAGATCTAGTTTAATCTGGCACACATCTATTAGAAAATTTAGAAGAGGAATTTAGAAAGGAAAGTAGAAAATTTAAAAACAAGTAGGGCAAAGTTGGAAGACTTACTTCCTGATTTAAAAATTCACTACAAGGCAAAACAATTTAAAAAAATTTTTTAATTAAAATTTACTACAATCCTGGGGCGCCTGGGTGGCGCAGTCGGTTAAGCATCCGACTTCAGCCAGGTCACGATCTCGCAGTCCGTGAGTTCGAGCCCCGCGTCGGGCTCTGGGCTGATGGCTCAGAGCCTGGAGCCTGTTTCCGATTCTGTGTCTCCCTCTCTCTCTCTGCCCCTCCCCTGTTCATGCTCTGTCTCTCTCTGTCCCAAAAATAAATAAACGTTGAAAAAAAAAATTTAAAAATTTACTACAATCCTACAGTAATTAAAATAATGTGGTACTGGTGTAAAGACAGAAATATAAACCAATGAAATAGAATAGGAAGCCCAGAAATAAACATTCACACATATGGTCAAATGATTTTTTTGATAAGGGTGCAAAGACCATTCAATGGGAAAGGATAGTCTTTTTAACAAATGGTGCTGAGGGGTGTCTGGGTGGCTCAGTCGGTTAAGTGTCTGACTCCTTCTCAGGTCATGATGTTGTGGTTTGTGAGCTCAAGCTCTGCGTTGCACTCTGTGCTGAAGCTCTGAGCCTGGAGCCTGTTTCAGATTCTGTGTTTCCCTCACTCTGTCTGCCCCTCCCCTGCTCATGCTTGCTCATGCATGTGTCCTCTCTCTTTCTCTCCCTCTTTCTCTCAAAAATAAACATTAAAAAAAAAAAAACACTAAAAGCAAATGGTGCTGGGAAAACTAGATACCCACATACAAAAGAATGAAGTTGGACCTTTACCTAATAACCATATATAAAAATTAATACAAATGGATCAAAGACCAAAACATAAAAGCTAAAACTATAAAAATCTTAGAAGAAAACATAGGGGAAAAGCTTCATGACATTGGATTTGGCATTGATTTCCTGGATGTAACACCAAAGGCATGGGCAACAAAAAAAATGAATTGAGCTTTATCAAAATCAAAACCCTTGTACACCATTAACAGACTGAAAAAGCAACCTACAAAATGGAAGAAAACATTGGCAAATCACATATCTGAGAAGGGATTAATATCCAGAATGTGTAAAGAACTTCTATAACTCAACAACAAAAAACAAAAAACCCAATTGGGCAAAGGATTTCAGTAGACATTTCTCCAGAGAAGATATGCAGATGGGTCAATAAGCACATGAAAAAATGCTCAAAATCATTACTATTCAGGGAAATACAAATCAAAATCACATGAGATGCCATTTCACACTTATTACAATGACCATTATAAAATAAAAGTAAAAAGCAGAAAACAGGTGTTGGCTAGGATATGGAGAAATTGAAACCTTTGTGCACTGTCAGCAGTAATGTAACATGGTAGGTACAACCTCTGTGGAAAATAGTATGGCGGTTCCTAAAAAAATTAAACATAGAATTACTATATGGTTCAGCTATTCCACTGTGGGGTATATACCTGAAAGAACTGAAAACAGAGACTCAAACAGATATTTATACACCCATGTTCACTGCAGCATTATTCACAATAGTTAAAAGGTAGAAATGACCCAAGTATCCATAGATGAATGGATGAATGGATGGATAATAAAATGCGGTGTGTACATGCAACAATTTTTTTGTTGTTTTTTAAATACTTACTTATTTTCGAGAGAGGGAGAGGCAGAACGTGAGCAGGGGAGGGCCAGAGAGAGGGAGACACAGAATCTGAAGTAGGCTCCAGGCTCCGAGCTGTCAGCACAGAGCCCGATGCAGGGCTTGAACTCACAGAACATGAGATCATGACCTGAACCAAAGTTAGACGCCTAACCGACTGAGCCACCCAGGTGCCCCTATGCAACAGAATATTTTTTAAAATGAGGAAAAAAAGGAAATTAAAAAATGAAATTCTAATACATGGAAATTCTAATTCTATAATATGGATGAAACTTGAGGACATGATTGTGGATGAAATAAGCTAGTCACAAAGGACATATATTGTTTGATTCTACTTTGATGAGTTGCCTAGAGTAGTCAAGTTTATAGAGACAGAAAGTAGAGCAGTTGTTACCAAGGTGTTTTTTGTTTTGTTTTGTTTTGTTTTACACTAGTTTTTACCTGAGAGAAGTGGGGAGTTCTTATTTAAATGGGTACAGAAGGGTGCCTGAGTGGCTCAGTCAGTTGACTTTGGCTCAGGTCATGCATGATCTCACAGTTTGTGAGTTCGAGTCCCGCATCAGGCTCTCTGCCATCAGTGCAAAGCCTGCTTCAGATCTTCTTTTTCCTTCTCTCTCTGCCTTTTTGTCACTCGCACGTATGCTCTCTGTCTCAAAAATAAACATTAAAAAATACATAAAAATAAATGGGTATGGAATTTAAGTATGGGATGATGAAAAAGTTCTGGAGATGGATAGTGGTGATGGTTGCAAAATAATGAGTTCTTAATGTCACTGAACTGTACATTTAAAAATGGTTAAAATGGTAGTGGCGCCTGGGTGGCTTCGTTGGTTAAGCGACCGACTTCAGCTCGGGGCATGATCTCGTGGCTTGTGAGTTCAAGCCCCACATCAGGCTCTGTGCGAACAGCTCGGAGCTCAGAGCCTGGAGCCTGCTTTGGATTCTGTGTCTCCTCCTTTCTCTGCCCCTCCCATGCTCATGCTCTGTCTCTCAATAAATAAGCGTTAAAAAAAATTAAAAATGGTTAAAATGGTAAATTTTATGTTATATATTTTTAACCAGTTTAAATAACAATTATTTTTTAATTTTTGATTTATTATATGAAAATTAGTTTGATACTAATGTGTTACCCTTCCAACATAATAGGAGTAAAAACTCCAAACCATTGTTTAAGTTCATTTAGAAAGTTTTCTTTTGTTTATCAAAAGACAAACATTTGCATGTAAAAAGTATTGCAAGATAGGGGTGCCTGGGGGTGGCTCAGTTGGTTAAGCATCAGACTTCTGCTCTGGTCATGATCTCACAGTTCCTGAGTTCAAGCTCCACATTGGGCTCTGTGCTGACAGCTCAGAGCCTGGAGCCTGCTTTGTATTCTGTGTCTCCCTCACTCTCTGCCCCTACCCCACTCACGCTCTTTCTCTCAAAAATAAATGAACATTAAAAAAAAATTTTTTAAGTATTACAGGATACATGCCTAATAAATTCTTATACTGTTCTTTTTATTGTTTAAGACAAATGTGATTTCTGGAAAGAAAGCACTTTCATTTTACCTTGTGATTAAAATGTTTTACCTTATGATTAAAATATGTAACAGTCAAGCTTACTTATTAATTATTCTAAATGAAGACTGTTTCCTACTGAGAAGGGAGAGTATTGGAAGCACTCATATCCTTAGATCTCTAAGGAGGTTGATAGTTCAGCTCTCTAGAACAGTGTTACTAGTTATAGCAATTTTCATTTATATAAGACCTATTTTGATCATTATCCAAGTGAAAGCCTTTTTTTACATAGAGCAATTTATGCAATTAGGCAAAGCTGTAAAATCAAACTTCTTAACCTTTAAAATAATTTCTTTTAATTTTTTAATTTTCTAAAAGTTATTTTTAAAACAATACTGTTGCTTTCATATCTACATACATGTTAAAATATAATTTGAAATTATATAAATGTAACAAGACAACAAAAAGAACCTCACAACCCTGCTGTCCTTTATTTTACAACAAAACCAGTAAAGGAAAAAAAAAACCAACACATTTGAACATCACAGTTGTAAGTACTAATTTTAAACAATTTTTATAATTCAGCTAATTTGTAAAGGTTAGATACTTCCAAAATAAAATCTAACTCTCTGTAAAAAATTAAAACAAAAAAACTATTCCATTTTTGTCTTTCAGATTTTTTATAGTATTGTGAGAAAAATGGGCAAAAGACTTGAAAGTCTGTTTCCAAAACATGATATCCAAATGGCCAGTAAATAATCACTTAAAATTCTATCCATAAAACAGACACAAAATGAAAACTCCTATCCTAATAAAAGAGGCAGAAGATTAAAGCTAGGCACTTATTCAAACTGTAGAAATTAAGGACAGAGAAAATATTAAAATTACCCACAGAAAAGACAGTTATCTTCAAAGAATAGAACAACAAAAATGTTGTTATCCTTTTAGTTCTTGGTTTACAACTAAACATCTTTTTCTGTATCTTTATTCCCTCTCTTGTGAATGATCTGTGTATGTTTTATTCATTTGTGTATTGTGGTGGTAAAGATGTTCTTAGCATTTGTTAGTACTTTAAATTTATTTCTAATTACACAAATAATATATAAATACTGTCTTACGAAAATATAATTATAGCTGAAGCAGCGTGCACTTAACATTTTTCTGTGTGTTGAAACAAAATGTATTAATTTTCTATAACTTGCTTTTTTCACTATCTTGGGACTCTTTTTATGTCTAAACAGATACATTTTATTTAATTACTACGTAGGGTTCCATAGTATGCATCTATCATAGTTTATTTAACTGTTCTCCTGTTGAAGGATGTTGGAGTTGCTTTCAGTTCTTTGCAGTTACAAACAATGCTTCAGTAAACCTCCTTTTATATATACAAGGCTTCCCTAATGTAGATAGCAAAAAGCGGCATTTCTTGGTCACAGAAAATGAATGTATGTTTAGTGGATACTGCCACGTAGCCTTCTAAAGGTAGTACCTTTGAACCTAAACTCCTACTAGCAATATATGAGAGTACCTGTTTCCCATGCCCCATCAATAATTGGTATTATCAAGCTCTTTTTTCTTGATGACTTTTTAAAATATTACTTGGGTTTTAATTAGCATTTATCTGATTACTGGTGAAGTTGAGCATTTTTCCATTTGTTTATTGGCTGTTTGTCTTCCTGCTTTCTGTAAATAGCCTATTTGTATCCTGCCCACATTTATTTATTTATCTATCTAATTATCAATTTATAAGTAAGCCCTACATTCAATGTGCGGCTGAACTCATGACCCCAAGATCAAGAGTCACATGCTCTATCGATTGAGCCAGCCAGGCACCCTTGCCCACTGTTGTGCTAAGCTGTTCTGTTTCTGTATTAATTTATAGTTCTGTATAAATTTTGATTAGTTACCTTTGCTTATATCTTGCATATATTTTCTCCATAGGTGAACTCTTTTTGTAACAAAACATAATCCTTTATCATCTTCGTTGCATATATTTTTCCACATCTGTCTTGTCCCTTCTTTTTATCCTACTCTATTCTATTCTAATTGACATTATTTCTAACTTTAGATGTTTGGCAGATTGACCAGTGGAACCATCTGAGATTAAATTTTTCTTTGTTGGAAGGTTTTTTTTTTTTTAATTTTTTTTTTTTAACGTTTTATATATTTTTGAGACAGAGAGAGACAGAGCATGAACGGGGGAGGGGCAGAGAGAGAGGGAGACACAGAATCCGAAACAGGCTCCAGGCTCTGAGCCATCAGCCCAGAGCCTGACGCGGGGCTCGAACTCACAGACCGCGAGATCGTGACCTGGCTGAAGTCGGACGCTTAACCGACTGCGCCACCCAGGCGCCCCTGTTGTTGGAAGGTTTTTAATGATAGTTTCAATTTCTTTAATAGTTTGTAGAACTATTCATATTTTCTATTTATTTTTGTGGGAGTGGTGATAATTATGCTTTTCTTTTCTTTTTTTTAATGTTTATTCATTTATTTTGAGAAAGAGCAGGAGTGGTTGAGGGGCAGAGAGAGAGAGAGAGAGGGAGAGAGAGAATCCCAGTGTGGGGATGTGGGGCTCGATCCCATGAACCACGAGATCATGACCTGAGGTGAAATCAAGAGTCAGTTACTCAACAGACTGAGCCACCCTGCTTTTCTAAGAATCTGTCCATGCATGTAAATTTTCAAATTATTAGCAATTTTTTAACAGTTGTAGGAATTGTAATATTAATTCTGATATTATTGCTTTTTATCTCTTTATTTTATTAGTCATTCTTGCCAGAGATATCAGCTTTATTAATCTTTTTCCAAAAACACCCAACTTCTGTTTTTTTTTAATCCTCCCCAATGTATATTAATTTCACTCCATTCTTTTTTATTTATTTTTAATTTACATCCAAGTTGGTTAGCATATAGTGCAACAATGATTTCAGGGGTAGATTCCTTAATGCCCCTTACACATTTAGCCCATCCTCCCTCCCACAAGCCCTCCAGCAACCCTCTGTTTGTTCTCCATATTTAAGAGTCTCTTCTGTTTTGTCCCCCTCCCTGTTTTTATATTATTTTTGTTTCCCTTCCCTTGTGTTCATCTGTTCTGTGTCTTAAAGTCTTCATATGAGTGAAGTCATATGATATTTGTCTTTTCTCTAATTTTACTTAGCATAATACCTTCTAGTTCCATCCACATAGTTTCAAATGGCAAGATTTCATTCTTTTTGATTGCCAAGTTATACTCCATTGTATATATATACCACATCTTCTTTATCCATTCATCCATCGATGGACATTTTGGGCTCTTTACATACTTTGGCTATTGTTGATAGTGCTGCTGTAAACATTGGGGTGCATGTGCCCCTTTGAAACAACATACCTGTATCCCTTAGATAAATACCTAGTAGTGCAGTTGCTGGGTCATAGTATAGTTTTATTTTTAATTTTTTGAGGAACCTCCATACTGTTTTCCAGAGTGGCTGCACCAGTTTGCATTCCCATCACTCCATTCTTAAAGAGTGCTTTCACTGGATATGGAATGCTAGTTTAGTAAAAGTTTTCTTTCAGCCCTTTGAAGATAGCATCCCATTGTTTTCTGGCTTCCATTTTTCCCTTGCTGTCAGCTCTCAGTCTTATTGTTGCTTCTTTGAAAATCATTGTCGTTTCTGTGGGTAATTTTAATATTTTCTCTTTGTTGTTGATTTACTACAGTTTGAATGAGATATCTAGTTATAATTTTTCTGTGTTTTGTATTAGGATTATGAGTTTTCATTTTATGTCTGTTTTACATATGGAAACTGTAAGTGCCTAATGGAATCTTCGTTGTCTTTGGTAATTTATTTATTCTGGGTTGGAAAGACCTTCTCACTCCCAGCTCCCATATGTTGAAAAGTTCTGCTCTGGGTTTTCTTTTTTGTTTGTTTTTTTTTTTTTTAATTTTTTTTTTCAACGTTTATTTATTTTTGCAACAGAGAGAGACAGAGCATGAACGGGGGAGGGGCAGAGAGAGAGGGAGACACAGAATCGGAAACAGGCTTCAGGCTCTGAGCCATCAGCCCAGAGCCTGACGCGGGGCTCGAACTCACGGACCACGAGATCGTGACCTGGCTGAAGTCGGACGCTTAACCGACTGCGCCACCCAGGCGCCCCTCTGCTCTGGGTTTTCTATGGGTTAATTTTATTGTAGAGTGAGAAAGTGAAGACCTAAATTGTTTTTAGTGCTTTATCTCCAAATTGATTATCAGTTGTTCTAGCCAAATTATTAAATAACCTTTTAGCTGCTTTTATTTAAAAGGAATATGCTTTGGGGCGCCTGGGTGGCTCAGTCGGTTGAGCGTCTGACTTCGGCTCAGGTCACGATCTCACCATCTGTGAGTTCGAGCCCCGCGTCGGGCTCTGTGCTTACTGCTCTGAGCCTGGAGCCTGTTTCGGATTCTGTGTCTCCCTCTCTCTCTGCCCCTCCCCCGTTCATGCTCTGTCTCTCCCTGTCTCAAAAATAAATAAAACGTTAAAAAAAAAATTTTTTTTTTAAAAAAAGGAATATGCTTTATAAATAAATGTTAAAAAATTTTTTAAAGGGATATGCTTTCATCAGATTTTATTTAATTTGTGTTCCTCAACCAATTTTTCAGGACAGCACCCATGTTTTTCATGTAAAGTGTCTGGTACAGATGTGAAGCGTTGCTCTGTTGGTGCTTGTGGGAAATTTTATCATGAAGCCTGTGTTCGCAAATTCCCCACTGCCATCTTTGAATCAAAAGGATTCCGCTGTCCCCAGCACTGTTGCTCTGCCTGTTCCATGGAGAAAGATATCTACAAAGCAAGTAAAGGTAAAATGGAGCTTAAAAGAGGGACAAAGTGTTTTGGGGTTTTTTTTGTTTTTTTGTTTTAATTTTTTGTAATGTTTATTTATTTTTGAGAGAGAGAAAGAGACAGAGCCATGAGCAGGGGAGGGGCAGAGAGAGAGGGAGACACAGAATCTGAAGCAGGCTCCAGGCTCCCAGCTGTCAGCACAGACCCTGATGCAGGACTTGAACTCATGAACCATGAGATCATGATCTGAGCCAAAGTTGGATGCTTAACCGACTAGCCACCCAGGTGCCCCGGGTTTTGTTTTTGTTTTTTGTTTTTTTGGTTTTTAAGTACAGTAGCAAATAATAAGCACATTATTATAAAAAATATATCAGGTATTATCTTTCTGTGTATATATAGATATATACAGCTTTCTGTAGATATAACAGCTCAGCCACGATAGATAGCATGATAGAGATTAGGTTCTAATTGAAATTATGAAAATTCTATATGTTCAAAATTACCCTTGAAAATTTCTTTAACAGGTGACATTAAGACCACCATCTCTCCAGCAGTGGAGCAGACAAGTTTTTCTTTGCGTGATCTCTCAGTGGGCACTGCATTTAGGATCCTGCATAAGGAATGACAGAGCCAAACTCGTGAAAAAAAATATTATCTTACTATAACAGCATCACATGGGACCTAAAAGAGTCCAACTCCAAAAAACTCATTTTATATCCAGCTGATACCTAATTATGTAGATTTTTTTTTTTTTTTTAATTTATCTTTAAACAGGTCGCATGATGAGATGTTTGAGATGTCCAGTAGCCTATCACTCTGGAGATGCTTGCATTGCTGCCGGAAGCATATTTGTATCCTCATACATTCTCATCTGTAGTAATCATTCCAAACGGAGCAGCAGTTCATCCTCTGCCATAAATGTAGGCTTTTGTTTCGTTTGTGCTAGAGGTGAGTGTCAATCCTTTCTCTCCATTTCTTTGAGTTCATTGGCATATATCCCCACTGAAATGGAGATTCAGTAATACCCCTGAGACATTAACACTTTCAGTAGTCCCTTTTATAACATTAAACATTCCAATTGTTAGAATATTAATTCTTCTATAAATTAAGCTAAAATCTAAATTTTTTAAATAACTTAAAATTACAGATAAGTTCTTAGTGTTCCTGTATGGCGTATCAAAAGATTAATCTATTCCCTTCTGCAAACAATTCTTCTATTGGAAGTAGACTCTTCCCATATCATATTCTTTAATCCAGAGCTTTCAACTGATTGAGATTTCACTTGGAAGGAGAGATGAGCACATTTAGTTTTTAATTGTTTATGTTGTATTTTATCATGTTTTGGTCTGGCATTGAGGAAGGCCTGATGGGATACAGCCAAGGCAACATATGTGGTGGTGGTAGCTAAGAGCCAGCAATGCAAGCTTTCTTACTTGCCAGCTGTTGGTATTTAAGTATGCCAAGAGCTTGATCAAGTAAAAACAATATTGTGGCCCTGAGGGGGTCAGTGAAGTGGAGTTCACGATAAATATAAAATAGAATTTCTTTAGTTGAATATAGTACAGAGCATTCAGCATTACAGAGTATCTCAGTTGTATTATAATAAAACAATTTTCAGTGTTTAGTAAACATTTTAGAAATTAATATCCCCAAATACAGTTTGTTTTTTCAAGTATAAGTGCTAACTTTTCTGAACTTTGAAAGGACTCTGGTATATCGGGCCAATTAGATTATGTTTAGACTGTGCTGAAGATGAAGTGTTTGGTTTGTTTTTGGTGTTACGTGGTTTCATTTTGGTTTTTGCTTTAGGATAATAATTCTTTTAATTTGGTGAAAGCACTGTAAAATATTTTTAAATAGAATTTAGATAGTGTGACAGATCTTGAGTTGTTTTGGTTTTGTGTCTCTCTTAAAAAAAAAATAGAGGAGGTGGGCAGTAAAAGGTTAAATAAATGGCTGTCCTCCTGGTGGCAGCCCATTGTATGTAGGCTTTCAGTTCAGTTTGCCCCAGTGTGTGCTAAATCCCTGGGGCTGTTTGCCCTTACTGGGGAAGCCTTGTGTCTTTATTTAGGGGAGCAATTACAGCTGTATCCTGCTCTGAAACCTGGCTGGTGCGTGGAGGAGGAAGTCTGCAATGTTTTGTGCCACATAGTTAACAAGTGGCAGAAAGGATTCAAATAGTCAAAAGAAATAAAAAGTCACCACTGGTGTCTTTTCCATCTCCCCATCCCTAAGAAAGTAATGATAGTATGGAAATACTGAATTATCAGTTGAATGGCTAGCTTTAGAGGCTTTAAACAGATGAGTGTCAGTGATAGCATGAAGTCTCACTTTGTAAATATTTTATTCTACCTTGCTAGGCACTTAATATTACTCACGTTTACAGGTGTGTGTGTGTGTGTGTGTGTGTGTGTGTGTGTGTGTGTGTGTGAGAGTGTGTATAACTGAGCCTACATTTTAAGTATCAAGTTTATAACTCTCATGCCGGCTTACTTTGGAGTACATTCTGAATCAGTTACCATCAGTATATTAACCAATACTTTCTTTTGCTCTATTTCATTCAATAATTGGGAAACCTTTAAAACAGGTATTTTCAATGTAAGATAGGTAGAAAATGGCCATTGTCAAGGAACCTAGCTTTATAGGGATTCTACCCATTTTAAGTTTAACTTCAGATGCCTTGATTAAAAACAAGCTTGAGATCTGTATTTGCATCTTATCAATTTGACAGTTATTCTGAAAGATATACTATATTTATATGCCTGTATAATCAAGATTATTTAATTCCCAAATATTTGAACTAAGAAACTGTGCAGTAAACAAACTTTCATTTTCCTTTTTAGCCTTTTACAGAAACTTATTCAAAATAGGTCAGATGTTGGGATTTGAGAAGGCTGAAGTCAAAAGTTTTCACAAGTAAATGATATGAGTTCTTTCATCAGTATTTATAGAGGTCTCCTTTTTTAAAAAAAAATTGTTTTTAGTGCTTATTTAGAGAGAGAGAAAGCTCGCATGGGCAAGAACAGGAGAACAGGAGAAGGGCAGAGACAGAATCCCAAGCAAGGCTCCGCACCATCAGTGGAGAGCCTTATGTGGAGCTCGAACTCAGAAACCTCAAGGTCATGACCTGAGGCCAAATCAGGAGTTAGTATAACCGTATAACCCACTGAGCCACCCAGGTGCCCCAGGTCTCCTTGTTTTTAAAGAGGCCTAAATGTAATAAATTCACACATAAAAGGTTTTAATTGTGTATGTTTTGGTATTAGAAAGCTTTGTTTTGCTTTTGTTTCTTGCCTTATACAGTTTTTCCCTCCTCATGAAGGATTTTTCTCTTAGTTCATGATTATTGGTTGTTTATTTTTTTTTTTCAACGTTTATTTATTTTTGGAACAGAGAGAGACAGAGCATGAACGGGGGAGGGGCAGAGAGAGAGGGAGACACAGAATCAGAAACAGGCTCCAGTCTCTGAGCCCTCAGCCCAGAGCCTGACGCAGGGCTCGAACTCACGGACCACAAGATCGTGACCTGGCTGAAGTCGGACGCTTAACCGACTGCACCACCCAGGCGCCCCAGATTATTGGTTGTTTAAAATAATTCAGCTAATTCTTAAGGACTGAAATATCTAGAAATATTTTTAGAAATGTTTCAAGGTGTAGAGGAACATTGCTCCTTCCCTCCCCTCAAGGCACCATAGGAAATGTTCAGTCCTAGCATTTCCTTTCATCTGGGGGGGGGGGGTATAAAATAAAAGTTACTTAACGTTCTATGCCTTTCTTTGTGATGGTAATTTATAATGGAGAAGATAGACTAGGGTTTTCTTTTCATTTTAATAATAATAGCAATTTTTTTTTTTTTGCATCTGTAAATCAAACTCTACCAGATACCATCTGAATGGTCACAGTTGCCCTAAGAAGTTATTTCCCCATTTTATGTAGATGAGAACACTGAAGCCCAGATTCCATAATTTACCTGAAGGTCATAGAAATTGTTAAATAGAGGGACTAGCATTTGGTCTGTCTCATTTCAAAGCCCATGTTTTTTATACTATCCTGCTTCTCTCTATTAAACATATGAAATTCATTTGACATTATATAACTTTTTTTTTTTAACTTTTATTTATTTTTGAGACAGAGCATGAACGGGGAAGGGGCAGAGAGAGAGGGAGACACAGAATCGGAAGCAGGCTCCAGGCTCTGAGCCATCAGCCCAGAGCCTGACGCGGGGCTCGAACTCATGGACCACGAGATCATGACCTGAGCTGAAGTCGGACGCTTAACCGACTGAGCCACCCAGGCGCCCCAACATTATATAACTTTTATTAGAAGATTTTTATACTATTGCCAATTAGCAGTTTTAAGTTCCATTCTGTCCTCCAGATCAGAGTTAGGTCTTGACTCTTTCTCAATGTAGTAGGTAGCACCAAATGAAGATAACACCCATGGCAAAAATAAATGGTAACCCTTTTAAAAACAAAACTCTTGACTCTTCTCAAAATGATCTCTATAAAACGGCTGTCATGATCCTTATTGCAAAGTCCTCAGACCATTATAAACTGTCTAGTAACCAAACAGAGCAATGTTCCCTGGTCTCACACTCACCTAGGTTAAGAGTGGCCTATAGTGAACTCAACAAGGGGAAGAGGATAGGAGGGTGTCACAGGTGGGTTAGAGGAGATCTATTTCCTTCCAAACAGGATAGCTGGGTTAGTAGATCAAAAGAACTATCTTATAAACCCTTAGGTTGGTAATTACTTTATGTTATGGCAGGGGGAAAAAATGTAAATGGTTTGCATTACCTTAGTGAAGTTCAACAAGTCCTGGCTCCTTTAAAATCATGTTATCATACTGATAGAGAACAGCTTCATTATCTGGCAGAAAAAGATATGACTAGAGAAGAAGAGACTCAGTTCTGCCTTTCAGTGTTACTTGATACATTGAAGATAGATCAGTGTTTCTACTATGTTATGTAAATAACTCTTACTTGCTATTAAGTGATATGTCATTTTGTTCTTTGGATTGTCATCACAGTATTTCTAAATATTAAGGAGTGTAGCTTTGTGTATCATAGCAGGTTTTAAGTGTGACATCAACTGCAGTTTACATCTTCAAATTAATTTGTGGTTTTCTTCTGGGTGTGTAGGTTTTTACGGGATAAGAAACCGAGTAGCTCAAACTCCCTTTAATAACTCTGGCAAGCCTTTTCTGTCAGTTTTTTCTTTTTCTTCATATTCTCATTTTCCCCCCAACTTTTAGCACAGCTACATAATAGGTGTTGGTTTATTTTTTACCCTCATGGAATCATGGGTAGTTTCATTGCAGCTCATCTCTTTCTGTTTGTTTCGTATAGGGCTGATAGTTCAGGACCATTCAGACCCCATGTTCAGTTCATATGCCTATAAGTCCCACTACCTACTGAATGAATCAAATCGTGCAGAGTTGATGAAATTACCTATGATTCCTTCTTCGTCAGCTTCCAAAAAGAAATGTGAGAAAGGTAATAATCAAAATAGTTTGTCTCTTTTTATTTTTGCATTTCCTTTTTTTTTCTCTTTAAATGAAGGGGGGAAATGTATGCCTGTCAAGCACTATCTGTTGCTTTTGGTAAATTCTACCTTGGTGGTTGTGACTGTGTCTTCATATGGCTGCAACATTATTAAAAAGGGCTTAAAATAATTCCATTATTGCAAATTCTTACTTCTCGTTGAATAAATTCTCACACATTCCATCTATCTGTGGGTTATTAAAATTGAAAGACTGAGTAGGATTTTGCTTAATATAGAAAGATTCTAAGGGCTCTTTCTCTTCTGCCTGATGGAGAACTACCATTCATGTTAGAATAGAATAGACGTGATGTAAATTATCATGAACTTTCAACTAAAAAACCAGGATAGATTATTAAAAGAGGGAAGCCAAGATACTGGTACTTAAAATTTTGATTTTAGGCTACATTTTATCCTTTTGTTTCTTAAATGTTTTTGTTAAGATGCTATGAAAACTAGTTGCCCTTCTCTTAGGAGACTTTGGTGGGCAGCTGGGGTAGTTTATCCCAAATATTGGATATTGAAAGGCAGCCCAGCTCAACTGAAGAATTACTTATGGATAATTTATCCACAGAGAATCAAGAACTAAATGTAATTTATATTCTCCCTAATAATTTAATCTATAAAAGCAAATCTTATATTTAACTTTACATAGCCTACTTATAAAAAAGGAAAAAGTAGTTTAACAGTACTATATTATTTTGGGAGGTCTTATCCCAGAGGGTAAAATGAATAACCTTGAAGGTAAAGGCCTTTTCCTGTATACATTCCCATTATGATTGGGAAGTCAAGTTCAGAATCTTTAAAGGAAATTTGATTCATACCTAAAATACTAGGTATATTTGAAATAGGTTTTTTTTTCCCCCATTCTTTATGTTGCCTGCTTGATATGTATCTTTGCTCTTTGTCAGACATCTGAAGTGGCAACCCAAGACTAAAAAATATGTAGTTAAGCAGGTTGATTAGAACCTATGGAGAAGTAGGTTGGGGAGAGTATTGGCTTGCTCATTTGTTTGTTTGTTTTTACGTTGAAGTCAGAGTATGTCACCTTACTGGTGATACCATCTACTTCTGAAACAAACATGGACGTAGGTCTGGCTAACTCCATAATGCAATAAAATTACCCGAGGCATTCATTTTAGGAAATGCCTTATTTCCTACTGGCGCTTTTATAAAATTAGATTAATTCAATTGTTTCTTACTTTGTTTTTGGTACTCAGTATTGACCTTGACACGAATTGAAATTATTTTGAGCCCTCTGTTTGCTTAGCTTGAACCACATCTTCTTCTTGCATCCTAAAGCAGTTTTCTTGCATAGCACCAAGGTGGATTGTTCACATTTTCATTTTTCTTGTGTATTTTTTGTCAAAAAATCATGATGATTTTCATTGACGATTCTGGGTCTGTATTTCCTCTGAAATAACACTTAAAATTGAGGACTATTCCATAATGTTAAAAATGGCCAGCCTGACTTCCACATCAGCTCTAATGATCACATGTCCCCTAAAGCTGTTTGCAAAGTCTGCTCTCCCTATTGGTAATTCCTTTCTGATGGAGAAGTCAGTTATCTCATTTTTATTTTAAACTTACCAAACCCCCTACCTAGGCTAAGAGCACTCAGGCAGCTAATCTGTAGGTTGGAGAATTGGAGCAATTAATCCACATTGAGATCTGCAGACAAAGGAAAAAATCTTAATGACTGAAGTAAAAGCTTTTAAGCAGAGGAAATATAGTAATTTATTTCATCACTGATTGTATATAGATTTTCTTTTTGTTTTTATGTTAATCAGTTAGAAGTTTGAAAGTCTACAGGAAGAAAAGATTTTCTGGAAAATTGATAGCAAACCCTCAAAAGGTTAGAGCGTGTGATTTCATAAAATTGTGTAGAGGGCTCTTAACCTTTTGCTTATGAGATATTAAACCTCAGTACAATCAGGTTATGGGCCTGATTTTCCAACACAATTTTTTTTTTTTTTTTTTGCAGTAAATGTCTTTATTATATTTCATCTTCAGTGGTTAACATCCTTCTCTGTCACTTGTTGAAATACCTTTTAGAAATACCTAATCTCCCCCCAAATCTCTTATATTTTTGCATTAAAAAATATCCTTTTGTTTTGTTTGCTGTACTTGTCTTGGTCTTAATCCAGAGATCATTTTGTGTATTTCAAAGGAGAGGATTTTGCCAGGGAACCTGGAGAGGGATCTCCTCATTGTGTGGTACTTATTCCACAGTGACATTTACTTAGTTTTATGCTATAAAGCAGTGGTTCTCAATGTGAAGTCAGAAAAACTTATATAAACAATTTTTTAACTATGTTTAATATTTCAGAAAATCTAACAATCACACATTTGCACAAAATAAGGCTGCATACATTTCTTTATATTTGGCTATGATTTGAACAACTTAATGTGATAGTTTTGTTATTGGGATCAGAAGCTCTGATTGGCAGTTACATATTTCTTTGGTTAATAAAAACAGGAGAAATTGTTACCTTTTAACAGGGATTTTGATTCTGTTTTTTGGTTTAGGATTGGTTTTTTTGTTTGTTTGTTTTGGGGGTTTATTGGTTGATAACATGTTTGGAAACATGGGTCCCTGAAGAAGAGAAAGGAGATCCTTGGCGATGAAAAAGTTACAAACCACTGCTGTATAGCCTGTTTTTGACTTTCTTTATTTTTGCTGGAAAGTTAAATGATAATGTAATCACCAATTTGAGAAAGTTCAATCCTTTGCTTTTTTGCATTTTTTTATGGAAAGAAAAAACTACTGGTCAACCTATTGGTTATTTTCATTCTTGCTAATTTTATTATAAAGGGATTTAGTTAACTATGGCACTGGATTAAAATACAAGGTGACCAATGCATGCTTTCTTAGCTCTCAAGGAGAAAAGAAAGTAAGTTGCTACATATTTCTTTGAAAATCTGCTCTCAAATCTACTCAAAGATTCCATGCATCTGTTAAGAGTTTTAGCTGCATGCTAAGCGGATGCCTCAATTGCCCACATTACTGTAAAGACTACAGTAATGGTTTTCATACCACTCAAAAGTTTTGAGTTTCTGGCCCCTGAAGCCCTGAAAAGGGACTGAAGTAGCTAAATCTGTTCATTTGTTTTCTATTTTAATCCATCACTATAGAGCTGACTCAATCCCTTTATTTTCCCCCAATTTGAGTCAAATTTGATGCACTTAAAAGATAACTTTCTCTTTTCTCTTTCTTTTTCTCTTTCCTCTCTTCTTAGTTATTAAGACTGTTTATTTGTTTCAAGGTGGAAGATTGCTCTGCTGTGAATCGTGCCCGGCTTCCTTCCACCCAGAATGCCTGAGCATAGAAATGCCAGAAGGCTGCTGGAATTGTAATGACTGTAAAGCTGGCAAGAAACTACATTACAAGCAGATTGTTTGGGTCAAATTGGGAAATTACAGGCAAGTTTTTCCAGGACAAAAAAGAAGTATTCAATGATTGTTCAGACATAGGTTCATAATCTATATACAAACTGGCTAGGAGATAAGTAGAACAACACAGAGCTACTTCCTTAAAAAAAAAGAAAGAGAAAAGAAATCTATTTTGATTTGGCTTTTAGAAGCCAATTTGGGAAGGTTGGGTTATTGTTGGATTTTTTTTCTTTTAGATTGGTTCTTTGACTTGTTTTTCAGTTTTTCTTTTTTAAGAGGAGACACTAGGCTCCTCCCTTATTTTTGTAAAATGTTTATTCTTTTTGAGAGAGAGAGTGAGTGTGTGTGTGGGTGCATGATCAAATGGGAGAGAGACAGAGAATCCCAAGCTGGCTCCATGCCCAGCACAGAGCCCGACCCAGGGCTCAATCTCACAAACTTCGAGATCATGACCTGAGTTGAATCAAGAGTCAGTTGCTTAACCAGCTGAGCACCCAGGCAACCCTTGTTTTTAAGTTGAAAGTAATTTTACACTAGTGAACTATGTACTACTAGATTTTGGAATAAAAGGTCTTATATAGATAGTAGGGAACATGTATTCTTTGTGTCCTAATTCATTTATATTGATTTCTAATAAAATAAAAGAATTTATATCCTGGCCAAAATAGTTCTCCTTACCCCTAAATCTGACCCATTTCAGTTTCTGCTAGAAGCTTTAAACTGAGTGCAAGAAGAGAGCTCTTTAGAATTTAAGGAGAGAAATTATTTCATGAAGAGCTTTTAGTTCTTAAGAGAATGAAGAAGTATGTGTGATTGCCATTATATTAATAAAACTTTCTCCTTTTAAGAAGCCTGTCTTGGGGTGCCTGGGTGACTCAGTCAGTTGAGCAACCGACTTTGGCTCAGGTGATGATCTCACGGTTTGTGAGTTTGAGCCCCGTATCGGGCTCTGTGCTGACAGCTCAGAGCCTGGAGCCTGCTTTGGATTCTGTGTCTCCCTTTCTCTCTGCTCCTACCCTGCTCATTCTCTGTCTCTTCTGTCTCAGAAATAAATAAACATTAAAAAAAAAAAAAAAAAAAAAAGAAGCGTGTCTTTGGGGCGCCTAGGTGGCTCAGTCAGTTGAGTATCTGACTCTTGATTCTGGCTCAGGTCATAGTCCCACAGTCATGGAATGGAGCCCTGCCTCAGGCTCTGTGCTGACAGCACGAAGCCTGCTTGAGATTCTCTCTTTCTCTTCTTCTCTCCTCTCTCCACCCCTCCCCCTGCTCGAGCATGCACATGTGCTCTTTCTCCCCCTCTCAAAATAAATAAACTTAGAAAATAGAAGCCTGTCTTTAACAAGCCTTCATTGAATAGGAATAGTGATGTATTTTTAAAAACTCTACATTCTACATTTTGAGACATATGTTTATCATTTACTGAGAAAATAGGTACTGTTCAAGAGAGCACAATAATGGTCCACTTTTCAGAATGCTAAGTAAAATATATTTCTGTAGGATTTCAAACATTGTAATTTTTTTTAGTAAGGGCTATGTCATTTTCTCTGAATTTTATTTTATTTTATTTTTTTTTTTTAAATTTTTTTTTTTTTCAACGTTTATTTATTTTTGGGACAGAGAGAGACAGAGCATGAACGGGGGAGGGGCAGAGAGAGAGGGAGACACAGAATCTGAAGCAGGCTCCAGGCTCTGAGCCATCAGCCCAGAGCCCGACGCGGGGCTCGAACTCATGGACCGTGAGATCGTGACCTGGCTGAAGTCGGACGCTTAACCGACTGCGCCACCCAGGCGCCCCTTCTCTGAATTTTAAATATGCTGCTTGCTTACTTACCTATTTAACTTTGTGTGTGGGGGTGGGGGTAGAGTGTGTGTATGTGCACACACTAGCAAGTAGGGTTGGGGCAAAGGGAGAGGGAGACTCTTAAGCAGTCTCCACACCTAGCGCAGAGCCTAACATGGGGCTCAATCTGACAGACAGCGAGATCATAACCTGAGCTGAAATCAAGAGTCAGACACTTATGGGGCGCCTGGGTGGCGCAGTCGGTTAAGCGTCCGACTTCAGCCAGGTCACGATCTCGCGGTCCGTGAGTTCCAGCCCCGCGTCGGGCTCTGGGCTGATGGCTCAGAGCCTGGAGCCTGTTTCCGATTCTGTGTCTCCCTCTCTCTCTGACCCTCCCCCGTTCATGCTCTGTCTCTCTCTGTCCCAAAAATAAATAAATGTTGAAAAAAAAAATTAAAAAAAAAAAAAAGAGTCAGACGCTTAACCAACTGAGCTACCCAGGAGCCCCTTACCTATTTAACTTTAAAATTTTATTTTAGCTGAGATATAAGGGGCCTTGAGATTGAGACGTGATGCCCCCCCGACACACACTATTTTTTTTTTTAACATATGACAGAAACCCCCCCAAAAAAACTTGGCAGTTGAATACATAAGTAATTTTATACTATATGGCAACAAATACAAAGTTTCAGAAGGCAAATGTCAAACCAAGGGGAGGTATTTTTACTTCTACTTTAATAAGAAAAGACAAATACCTTACCTAGAACAGGGAGCAAAGAAGAGAAAGAGCCAGGTTGCCAAAGAAGAACAAATAGAAAATAAATATGTAAAAAATGCTGCGCCTCACTAAAAATAAGTATATGTTAAGGACAAAGAGGTTTTTTATTTCATTTTTGTTTTTGTTTTTTTCCAATTAACAGATTGTCAAAGATTTAAGAGTAATAAGTTTTTGGCTAGGGAGGGCAAGGGAAAAGGAGTGCCCCCACAGGGCAGTCTTACATCATATATTAAATTGTAACAGTGTCTACCTTTTGATTCAGCTCTTCTCTTTTTTTTTTTTTTTTTTAATTTTTTTTTTTCAACGTTTATTTTCTTGGGGACAGAGAGAGACAGAGCATGAACGGGGGAGGGGCAGAGAGAGAGGGAGACACAGAATCGGAAACAGGCTCCAGGCTCCGAGCCATCAGCCCAGAGCCTGACGCGGGGCTCGAACTCACAGACCGCGAGATCGTGACCTGGCTGAAGTCGGACGCTTAACCGACTGCGCCACCCAGGTGCCCCTCATT